TATTAACGAGTGACAAGTATATACAGGCATAACAAACATTGCATACTGCTCAGGTAAATATGTATCTCACAAACACCAAACATGTAGAATACGCCTCAAACATTCGTACATATATATATAGTTTGACCATTCAATAATGTTGTATTTGCAGGACACCACAATGTCACTGGCACCCCTATAGGCTATAGTCGACGGAGCTCGTCTCCAGGCGTATGTTTTGAGGGTCAGCTGGGCACAAGCGTCCCCATTGAGATTGGGGGGAACTATCCAGGTGCATATGTTTGAGTCTACTCTGTGTATATATGTATTGCCCAGGTTTTGCCCTGATTGTGTAGATATATTTGGAGATTGGGGGGAACTATCCAGGTGCATATATTTTGTGTTTTCTCTGTGTATATGTGCGTTGCCCAATTTTTGTCTTGATTAGATATACAAGTGTTTGGGACTGTAGAATCTGGGCTGATTGGACCCAAGCTGGATATGTTTGAGCTCTCTCTGTGTGTATGTGCATCGCCCAGTTTTCGTCCTGATTGGGTAGTTATATAAGTATCTGGGACTGTATACTGAAGACCAACTCCAAGCACAGGCATGCCAATAGCGATAGAGGAGAGACTATGCAGGTGTGAATAGTTGCATCGGTTGAGTCTGTAAGATGACTACCCTTGAAAGTAGGTACCAATGCTTGGGACTGGGGAATGAAAGCCAACGGGAACCCGATTTGTTTGGTCTATCTTCCTTGTCGACTTTACACACCAAAACGCAACTTTCATACGTTATGTTCTTACATTGATAGTTACTTGTCATTCTAACCTAGTGCATGATAAAAACTATTCATTAGTGATTTCATTGAGATTTCGCGATGATCTTGACCTTTTGCAACGTTTAAGTTGGATTGTCATATACATAGCTATTTATAATCTTAAGTTGTATTGTCATATATATATATAGTTACTTATAATCGTAAGTTGTGTTGTCATATATATAGCTACTTATAATCGTAAGCTGTATTGTCATATATATAGCTACCTATAATCGTAAGTTATATTGTCATATATATAGCTACTTATAATCCTAATTCAAGGCATAGCTATGAATAGCTCCGTGTAGCCAAACATACACTCTGCATGGACATATCGTCGTATTGACAGTCAATGATGATACTGACTGTATACATTTAAGTACAACACACCCAAAAGTTATATTGTCATATAAAGTGGTTGATCCGGCACATTTAACTACAACACGCCCCAAAGTTATATTGTCGTGTAAAGTGGATGATGATACTATCTGTAGACATTTTAACTACAACGCGCCCCAAAGTTATTTTGTCATGTAAAGTGGATGATGATACTATCTGTATACATTGTCCACATCAGAGCCGTCTCACCGCAAGAACTCCGTTCCCTTCAACGGGCGACTCAACTCTCTGCGATCGGTCGGAACTGCGCCCGCAAGTATGCAGTTGGACTTAGCCTTGGGGACACACTCGTGTTTTGAAAATGTACCTGTGAAATCACTAAATACACTCAGTATCATGCATGACGTTTAATATTTTATATCTACATGTACGTATGGATATGAACGGTTGTTTATACTTGTTGTAGCGTATGTACTGAGTATCATGCATAAATGGTTATGGTAACATATATGGATTGGTTTTCGCGCACATGTCAACTATTTCAATAAGATTTACATACTGCATGTTCTCAGTATTATGTATAAATGGTTATAGCTACATGATTGTAATGGTATTCGCACACATTTCTTAGTGCTGCAGCGTATGTATTTCATATTATGCATATATATATATATATATATATGTGTGTGTGTGTGTGTGTGTGGTGGTGGTGGTGTGTGTGTAGTATATATATATATATATATTATTGTGTGTGTGTGTGTGTAGTAT